CCTCCTCCGCGACAAAGACGGAACTTCCGCCGCCGCAGACCGAGTCCGGCGTCGGGTCCTCTCGGGACGGCTCGCTCGACGACGACGAGCTCGAGTTGCTGTCCCCGATGGCCGTCGCCGGGGAGTCGCTGCTGAACGACGTCTTGGACGAAGCGGCGGCGGCGGCGGCGGCGACGGCGACGACGACGAGCGACGAGAACGCATCCCCCGCGAGCGTTACCGAGGATGGTTCAAACAAAGAGGAGAACAAAGAGCCGTTCGGGATGAACCCGAAGGATCTCGTGAAGAAGCGCTCGAAAGAAGTCCTCGGACGCCTCGTCGGCGCGAGAGAGGGCGCGGCGTTGAGACGCGTCACGTTCGACGCGGATTCCGTCTCCCTCGCGTCGTACCTCGCGTCGTCCTCCGCGGCGGGGATGCGCGAAAAGGGCGTGCAAACGATGAAGCGCGTGTTGAAAGATCTGTGGAGCGTCCGAAGAGCGGAGCTCACGAAGCGAGGCGTGATCGAGGGAGGCGCGGCGACAGCCGAGGGGCTAGGCGCGTTCTTACACTGGTTCCCATACGACCGCGTTGGCGTTGTGAACGCCGATCCTTAAGGACTTTGCCCGGCGCATCTCTCCGCTCACCCCTCGCTTTCAATCCCCGTCCTCGGCGCCTTTCAACTCCAACTGACGCCTTTCAACTCCACCCCGACGTTCGCTTGTATGATGATGGGCGGCGAAGACGCGTCGCGGAAAAGTTGGCCCGAGAGCGAGCGGGCGCGGAAAATCCGCGAGCGCGAGAGCAAGTCGCAGCGCAAGGCGATCAGCGTCATCGTCTTCGGTCACTTGAAGCGGCTGTGGATGGACGGGCAGATCATTTTGATCGCGTCGCTCGCGCTGACGGCCGCGCGCATGGCGTTTCTCGCGGTGTGCCTCGCGACGTTCGACAAGGCGAAGGAGTGCGCCGCCGCGGCGTTTGGATTTTTTTTAACGTTCGCGACGGCGCCGTTTCGGTTCGCGCGCGGGTTGTTGACGTCGACGTCGACCGCGCGAACGGGAGATGGTGGGAACGGCGAGATCGAGAGCGTTACGACCACCGCGAGAGACGACATCGACACGGCGTGATGATGGGTACTACGTCTTTCTTAGGTAATACTACTACGAAGGTACTTTCGTACCTAGGTACTTCTAGTGAGCGAGAGCTCGTCAACTCCCGGCCGCCGCCGCCGCCTTCGCGTCCTGGTTCTGCCCCTCCATCGCCTTCCTCTGCGCGAGCAGCTCCCCGGCGGCGCCGTAGTCGTGCTCGAGAATCCACCGCATCTGCGCGCCGTTCATGACGGCGACGACGACGTCCGTCTTGGCGCGCACGTCCGCGGTGCGTCTTATCCCGATCCACTGTTTTTTCGACTGATACGTGGCGATTAGGCTCTTGCTCAAGCTCCCCACGCTCCTCACTTTCGGTTTCCCGGCGGGCCTCGTCGGGCTCGCGGGCGGCGTCGGCGCGTCCTCGTCGACAGTCTCTATGGCTGGCGCTTCCTCCGCCTTCGCCCCCGCCTCCGCCTTCGCCCCCGCCTCCGCCTCCGCGGCGCCTTCTTTTTCTTTTTCTTTTTCTTTTTCTTTTTCTTTTCCTTCCCCGTCCCCCGACGTCGACCTCGCGTCCTCCGCGACCGACGTCGTCTTCACCAGCACGCTCATCTGCCCGACGAAATCCCCTTCCCCTCGCTCGCACACGAACACCTCGCGCCCGTCGTCGTCGCGCGTCAGAACCTCCACGACGCCGCCCTTTATCAAGTACACCTCCTCGTTCGAAGCCTTGGCGCGCTCGCCCAACCGAGTCAGGTACGCTCCGGGCGGATACTCGCGCAGTTTCAAATCGCTCCCGAGCTTGCTCTGCATCGCGCGCCGCATCCGCTGCCCGGGGGCCACGACCGCGCGCGCGTACCCGTCCGCGCCGCCGCCGTCGCCGCCATCGTTCGCGGACGACGTGTGCTTCACGATCCACGGGTGCCCCAACGCCTCCTCCGCGGTGAATCGCGTCACGGGATCAACCGTCAGAAGCCGCGCGATCAGATCCTTCGCGTCGTCGCTCACGCCCGACGACGCCGGTATCTCGTGCACCCTCCCTTCCGCGATCATCCGAAAGCTCGCCTGCGTATCCTCCCCGGCGTCGAACGGGAACCGCCCGACGACGGCGGCGTACAGCACGACGCCCGCGGCCCAACAGTCCACCGCGGGGGTGTAGCACTGGCCCGTGATGATCTCCGGCGCAACGTACCCGGGGGTGCCGCACTGCTCCGAGAGCGTGCTCCGGCTCGACGTCATCTTCCGCGCGAACCCGAAGTCCGCGATGCGCAGCGTCTCCGGCTCGCAGTTTTCGCCCGCGAAGAGCAAGTTCTCGAGCTTGATGTCGCGGTGGACGTACGCCACGCGATGCATCTCGGCGAGGCCTGAGGGTCGAGGGTCCGTACGAGCGAACGTCGGAGTGGAGTTGAAAGGCGTCAGGTGGAGTTGAAAGGCGTCGATGTGTGTCGGGATTGAAAGCGAGGGACCCTGGGCGGAGAGATGCGACGGGCAAAGTCCTTAAGGATCGGCGTTCACCACGCCGACGCGGTCGTACGGGAACCAGTGTGAGATAGAACGCACCCGAGAGCAGCGCTTTGACGCAACCCGCGGCGACGTTTTCGGATAGCCTTCCCTCCTCGCTCTCGATGACGTGCTCGAGCATGTCCCCGCCCTTCAGGAGCTCCATGACGATGTACGCTTTGGTGGGCGTGACGTAAAAATCGTGCACCTTGACCGCGCGCTGCGTCGCGGAGGACGCGGACATCGTCGTCTTTGGGCCATTCCATACAAAGCGATGGCGGGGTGAAGTTGAAAGGCGTCAGTAGGAGTTGAAAGGCGTCGAGGGCGGGGATTGAAAGCGAGGGGTGGGCGGAGAGACACGCCGGGAAAAGTCCTTAAGGATCGGCGTCCACATCGCCTACGCGGTCGTATGGGGACCAGTGTATAGAACGCACCTTTATCTCGTCCGCGATGTCCTCGATCGACGCCCTCTCGTGCTCCTCTTCGTCGTCGACGTCGCCGCCGCGCGTCGTCGTCGCGTTCGCGTTCGGCGACGCGTGCCCCGCGTCGCCGTCGACGTCGAGGTTGATTATCTTGATCGCGTACTGCGTTTTCGTCCGCGCGTGCGTCGCTTTTCGCACCACCGCGAAACCGCCGGTGCCTGCGCGGGTGAAGCGTTCGGTCAGTCGAACGTCTTACCAGTCAAACGTTGAAAGGGAAGCGCGGGTGAAGAGTGACGACGGGAAAAGTCCTTAAGGAACGGTGTTCACCACGCGAACGGGGTCGTACGGGGAGCAGTCTCACCGAGCGTCTTGCCGAGGATGAAGTCGTTCGCGACCGGGGTGACGACGCCACCCGTCTTCGGGTCGCGCGTCGGCGCGCCGTCCGTGAACGTCTCTGTAGGGAGCGTCCTCGTGTCTGTCTCGTGCCTCGTCGCCGCCTCTGCGACGCGACGCGACGGGGATGGGGATGGAAGGGGGTGGCGGTGGCGGTGGTCAGACGCGACGGAAGGAAGACGACGCGGCGCGTGCGAGAATGTGCTGATGCGAGGACTGATTGATTGAATGTCCTCTCGGATAGCGTCGACGACGACGACGACGACGACGACGACGACGACGACGACGACGGCGACGGCGGCGATTCGCGCGCGAGCGCACCTCTCGCGTTCTCCACGGCGACGCCCCTCACGGCGTTGTACAGATGACTGAACTCGTTGAACGACAGCGTCCCGCCGCCGTTGATGTCGTGCTCGTGCATGCATCGCCCGACGAGCGCGCGGAAGGATTCATCCGACTCTCCCGGCTCTCTCAATCCCAACGATTCGAGCGCGGCCGCGAGCTCGCTCGCGTCGATGCTTCCGCTGCCGTCGACGTCGTGCTGCAAGAAGCACGCGCGCGCCGCCTCGGCCCTGGCCTCGTGTTGGTCCACGAGCGAGTCGTCGACGAACGGCATCGCGACGGGCGCGCGGAAGTGTGCGAAGAATCGCGTCGGCGGCGTGCGCCAACGCGCACGAGGAGAAGCAGAGTCATCATCAGATTATTTTTAGCAGTTTCCTTTCGGACAGGACTCTTCGAAGTTTGTCGGGTCAATAGTACAGACTAAGGTGAGGCTAACTAGCTACAATGTACCTTAATCGTCGAGATGTGCCGCGACCGCGAAACGCGACGACATCGCGTCGACGTCCTCCGGTTTCACCTTCCGGTCCATCGCTCTCAGATCCTTCGGCGCGAGCCGCCGCGCCGTCTTCCCGAATCCCGCCGACCGCAGCGGCGAATTCGAGAGGGAAGATTCGAACGATCGCACGACCCACCCCGTCGACGGCGTCAGCGTCGGCGGCGACCCGTTCGACGCGGCGCCCTCCGGCGTGAGCTCCGGCAGCGAGGCACCAGAATTCACCGCCGCGGGGGAGACGGAAACGGAATCGGAAACGGAATCCCCCAGCGCCGCACGCGCGCCCGTCGGCGTCGTCGTCGTCGTCGTCGCGAACCCGGACCCAGCGGCTTTCGCGCTCCGCGCGCGCGCCGCCGCGGCGGCGGCGGCGTCGCGCGCCGCCGCCGCGCTCGCGTACGCCTCCTTCACCTCCGCGGCTCTCTCCGCGCGCGCCGCCGCGACGGATTCCGCCTTTAACCGTTTCGCTTCGGCCATCTTAAGCGCGTGCGCGGCGTCCGCCTCCTTCTTCTCTCTCTCGCGTCGCGCCCTGTCCTCCGCGACGCCGCGTCTCCGCGCGTCCATCTCGCGCTTCGCCGCCGCGCGCTTCTCCGCCGCGGCGTCGCGAATCGCCTTCGACTTCGCCGCCTTCTCCGCCGCGGCGTCTCTCTTGGCGCGCTTGGCCTCGGCGACGCGCGCCGCCCGGGCCGCGTCGTCGGCGGCTTTCACGGCGGCGGCGGCGTGAGTAGTCACACTGGTTCCCATACGACCCCGTTCGTGTGGTGGACGCCGATCCTTAAGGACGTCCGACGCGGCGCGCTCGGCGGCGGCGCGCTCCGCCTTCTCGCGGCGGCGCGCCTCCTCGAGCGCGGCGGCGCGCGTCTTCGTGTCGTCCCGATCCGCGTGGGCCTCGCGCGCCGCCGTCTCGGCCGCGCGCGAGGCTTTCGCCTCGGAGGACGTTCGAGTCGTCGCCGCGTCCTCGACGCTCTCGCGTCTCGCGGGGGGAAGCCGCGGCGAGCGCTCTCTTCGCGCTCTCTCCGAGCGACCCTTCGCGTCGTCGTCGAAGAGCGGGTTCGAGATGCGCTTCATCCCCGTCTCCGCCGCCGCGATCTCCGCCGCTCGCGCCTCGGCGTCTCGTCTCGCTTTTTCCGCGCGCGCCTCCTTTAGTCTGAGTTTCATTTCGCGCGCGACGTGTTGCATTCGATCCGCCGCGACGGCGCCGCGCAGCGTCTCGATCTCCTTCCGCGCCGCCGCGAGCATCTCCGCCGCCTCGTCCGCGTCGCGCTTCGCGCGCGCGCGTTCGAGCTCGCGGTCGTCCGCGGCGCGCGTCGACAGGTCTCTCTCGCGCTGCGCCGCCGCCGCGCGTCTCGTCGCGTCTTCCAGTTCGATCCTCAGCCGCCGCGCTTCCTCCGCGCCGTGGCTCTCCGCCGCGAGCGCTCGCTTCGCCGCCTCCTCCGCGGCGGCGGCTTTCTTCCACGCGGTCCCAGCCTCTCGCGCTCTCGCGATCGCCGCGATCCCCTCCGAACGCGCCGTCTCCGCGGTCGCGGCTTTCTCGCGCTCGACGCGCGCGAGCGCGCTGGCGAGCGCCTCTTTTTCCTTCTCCGATTTCGACGCGCGCGCCTCAGCTTCCTCCGCGCGTCGCGTCGCCTCCTGCGCTCGCGCGATGAGCTCCAACGTCGCGGCGTTCTGCAACGACGCGTCCGCGGCCGCCCGCTCCGCGGCCGTCCGCTCCGCGGCAGCGTTCGCGGCCGCGTCCGCGGCAGCCTTTTCCTCGGCGGCGCGGATCGCCGCCGCTCTCTCCTCCTCCCTCAGGGTCGTTCCATACAAGCGATGATATCGGGGTGGAGTTGAAAGGCGTCAGTTGGAGTTGAAAGGCTTCGAGGGCGGGGATTGAAAGCGAGGGATGGGCGGAGAGATGCGCCGGGAAAAGTCCTTAAGGAACGGCGTTCACCACGCGAACGCGGTCGTATGGGGACCAGTGTAAGGAGAACGCGCCTCGCGCTCGCCGCCGCCAAGTCTCTCGCCTCGCGTTCCCTCGCCTCCCTCGCCGCCGCCGCCTCCTCGTCTCGCCGCGCCTGCTCCTCCATCGCCGCCCTCGCCTCTGCGTCTCTCTTCTCGCGCGCCTCGCGCTCCCTCTCCTCCTTCGCCTTCGCCTTCTCCGCGTCTCTCTCCTCCTTCGCCCTCGCCTTGGCCTCTCTCTCCTCCCGAGCCTTCTCCGCCTTATTAGGGTCGAGGGTCCGTACGAGCGATGATGTCGGGGTGGAGTTGAAAGGCGTCAGAAGCGGAGTTGAAAGGCGTCGCGGTGTGTCGGGATTGAAAGCAGCGAGGTGTGGGCGGAGAGACACGCTGGGCAAAGAAAGTCCTTAAGGAACGGCGTTGACCACGCCGACGCGGTCGTATGGGGACCGGTGTGAGGAAATCGCACCTTGGCGGCTTTGCTCAGCGCCGCGCCCTTCGCGCGCTCCGTCGCCTCGAGCTTCGCCGCGAGCTTTTCGCGCTCCGCCTCGAGCTTCGCCGCGCGAATCTCCGCCTCCGCCGCCTTCGCCCTCGCCGCCGCCTCCATCTCCTTAGCGCGCGCGATCGCCTCGCGCTCGATCTTCTTCGCCCTCTGCTCCGCGCGTCTCTCGCTCTCCGCCGCCGATTTCGCCGCCGTCGCCTGTCGGGGTGGAGTTGAAAGGCGTCAGTTGAAGTTGAAAGGCGCCGAGGGCGGGTATTGAAAGCGAGGGACCCTGGGCGGAGAGACACGCCGGCAAAAGTCCTTAAGGATCGGCGTTCACCACGCGAACGCGGTCGCATGGGGACCAGTGTGAGGAAGGAGGACGCGCGCACCGCGGCGGCGAGGAGCTTCTCTTCCATCTCCTTCGCGCGTCGCTCCGCGCTCTCCGTCTCTCGCTTCGCCTTCGCCGCCGCCTCCGCCACCTCCGCGCGCGCCTTCGCCACCGCCTCCTCGATCCTAACTCGCGTCTTCTCCTCCTCGTCTCTCGCGTCCGTTAACGCCTTGGTCGTCGCGTCCGCGCGCTCGCGCTCCGTCTCGACGCGCGCGGCGGCCGCCGACGCGCGAGCCGCCTCGCGCGACCGCTCCTCTTCCGCGACGCGCGTCGCCTCCTCCGCGGCCGCGAGCGCAACCGAGGTCTCGACCGCGAGGGACTCTTCCTCGGTCGTGCGCTTCGACGGCGACACCGCGGACGCGCGCTTCGCCGCGTCCTCCGCGGCGGCGAGCGCGACGCGCGACGCGTCGAGCTCGCGCTCGAGTCGAACGTTTTTCTCCTCCGCGTCCCTCGCGCGCGCCTCCGCGTCGTCGAGCTTGGACGCCGCGTCGCGCGCCGCCTCGGCGAGCCTCGCGGACTCCGCCGCCGCGGCCGCGGCGTCCGGGTGGTCCTCGACGCGTCGCGATCGCAGCGATTTCGCGCGCGCCTCTGCGAGATCCGCGCGATTCTTCGCCTCGCTCGCGTCGCGCCGCGCGGCGAACAGCTCGTCCTCCGCCTTCTTCGCGGCCGCGATGTTGCCCGTCGCCACCTCGCGCAGACGCGCGAGCTCCGCCTCCGCGGTGATCGCGCGCTTCTTCGCGTCCTTGAGCTCCGCCGTGGACGGCGGCGTATAATTGAGCGCGGCGTCGAGCTGCCGGGAGTACTCGCGGATGAGCGCCTGCGCGAGATGAAGCGCGGACTCGCGCTGCGCCTCGGCGATGCCGCCGTGCGTCACGTCCGTGAACATCCGCGCGAGCTGCGACGTCTCGTCGGGCTCGAACTTCCCGGACTTGAACTCGAGGCACTTGAACTCGAGGAACTCGGGCGATAGCATCGCGAAGAGTTCGTCCGCGTTCACGTCCAGGTCGTCGGAGTCGTCCGCGGCGGCGACCTGCGTCGGCGTCGTCGTCGACGATTTCGGCATGTTGATCGACCCTCGGCCGCGGCCGACGCGACCGCGACGCGGGCGCTCTCGCGCGCGCGCGCCTCGCGGCGGGGGCTTCCTACCTCACCCTCGGATCGTCGGTCACGATATCGCGCGTGTCGCCGTCATCGCGTCTCTGCCGAGCTGCGAGCGGCCCGCGGGGACGGGGATTTGTGAATGTGCCTTTCTACCACGCGTCTCTATTTGTCGTCGCGTCCAACAGCCGCAGCAACACCCAGGCTGAAACTAAAACGGGTTCGGTCAACGGATCGATTACGAAATGACGACCTTGTGGACGACAGTTGAGCGAACAGAACTCGAGCTCCCATCCGCCCTGCGCGTGTACTTCCGTCGAGCCGACGCGCGCGCGCGAAAGATATGTCACGACGCGCTCGTTCGTTTAACACGTCGCGTGAACATTCGCACGGCGAGCGACTACGTCGGTCGCGCTGCGTGCGCTGCTATGATAGACTACGTCGTCGGTCGTCGGCGACGGACGCGAGAAAAAAAAAACGGTACGGCTCGTTGTCGCGTCGCGCTCACCGACCGTGGAGCATGGAAGAGATCGATCGCTGCTTCGGATCCCCCGCGACACCCGGTCGGTCGTTCCATCCCTGAGCCCCCATCGCGCCGCCGCGCTCGAGCTGTCGCGGCGGCGCCGGCGGCGGCCCGCCTCGCCACTGTCGCGGCGGCGGCGGCGGCAGCGGCTGCTGCTGCTGCAGGTGGGACGGAGGTCGAAACGCGACAAGTTTCGACGGCGACCGCGGCGGTTGAAACGGCCGGCGAAACGGCGGCGAAACGGCCGGCGAAAAACCCTGCTGCCACTGCTGCGGCGGCGGCCGTTGAAGAGACTGCTGACGCTGCTGCGGCGGAGGCACGTGCCGCGCCGGCGGCCGCTCCGGCGCCGGGACGTACCGATGAGGATTCGCGGGACGTCGCGCGGCGGCGGGAGGCGGAGGAACGTACCGCGCCGCCGGCGCCACCGCCGGCGGCGCGTACCGATTCGTCGGCGCCTCCAACGCGACCGCCGCGGCCGCCGCGACGCCTTCGCTCGCGGCCTTGTCGAACGCCGCCTCCGTCCGAAGCTCCGCTGGCGTCGCGTCCGTCGTCGCCGCGGCGGCGGACGCTTTTCGCTCCGCCGCGGCGGCGCACGTCGAGCCGCCTCCGCCGCCGCCGCCGCCGCCGCGCATCCACGTCCCGAGCAGCCCCTCCAGCAACACCACGGTCGCCTTCTTCTCCGTCCCCGCGTCGCGTCCTCGCGCGCCCGCCTGCGTGCACGACGGGCACCCGGACGCGCACTTGCACTCCCTCGTCGTCGCGAGCGCCTTCTCCCACAACGCGTCGAGCTGCGTCCACGTCTTGCTCGCCAACCCCACGCCGTTGGGACACGCGTCGTACAGGTACATCCGCGCGCCGGTCGTGCCGCCGTCCGACCCGTTGCATCCGTCGGAGGAGAGGAAGTCGCACGCGCCGAGGACGTCGCGCGCGTCGCACATCGCCACCGCGGGGACGAGCGCGGCGCAGACGTTGAGCGCGCCTGTCAAACGCAGTCGGGGCGGGTGGAGTTGAAAGGCGTCGGCGTGCGTTGAAAGGCACCGCGGCGTGTCGGGATTGAAACCGGGGGGGTGTCGGCGAGAGACGCGCGCGGGACCCGAAAGTAAACCCTCGAGGAACGGCGTGCTCCACGCGAACGGGATCGTATGGGGACCAGTCTTTGTATAGAACGCACCTTGCGTCGCCGCGCGGAGTCTGTCCGGGGCGATTTTGGATCGCACGAGCTCTCCGGGGAGGTCCCACCACACCGCGTCGGTGACGAAATCGCTCCCGGGCAAGCCCGGGTTGAACGGTATCTCGTCTATGAGCTCCTGCGTGTGCAGCCTCTTCACGACGTAGCCGTGGATCGTCTCCACGACGCGCACGCGGCCTTCGAAGACGCGCGCCATGCCGACGCGTTTGACCTTTCGCTCGCGTATCCCCGCGCTCGGGTCCTTCTCCAGCGGCATCACCGCGGTCCGCTCGCGCGCGTACGTCACCTCCGGGTTGGCGTACTCGCGGCAGTACGCCACGCGCGCATTCGCGTCGTGCCGCTCGATCTTGTACTGCCCGTGTCTGGAGAGGTGGACGCATCCGGGGTATATGCGCGACATCGCTCTGTGGGCTTCGATTTTTTCGAGCTCGCGAGCGCCGGATTGGAGCGAGTCTCCGCGCGTGACGTCGAGGAGCGTCCACGCGTCGCCGCCGGACGGCGCGCCTCGGAGCATGACGTGGTGATGTGGGCGGAAGAACTGCCGGCACTGGAAAATCTTCGTCGCCTTGTTCAGGAACATCGTGGGCTCGCCGTTGTTCCAGGGCATCTCCGCGCGCGCCGGGAATTGGCCGCCGCCGCCGCCGCCGCCGCCGCCGCCGCCCGCGGAAGCTTTAGAAAACCCGCCGCCGCCGCCGCCGCCTTCCCCGGCCGCGCTTCTCGTGATCTTCGGCGTCGCGCTCGTCGCGCTCCTGAGCGCGCACAAGAACGGCGTCCGGTTCTTCACCGCGGTCGTCTCCCCGCGTTCCGCGCCCAACCGAAACAGTCTCGCGGCTTCCGCGTCGTCGAAAAGCTTGCAATCCGTCTTCGGATCGATCGGGGTCTCGAACGCCGCGCACGGCAGGTGCGCCTCCAGCACGCTCACGTTCGCTGGGTCGATGAGCGCGCTCTCCGGTCTGCGCTTGAAGAGCTCACTCGGGTGCGCGAGGTAGAAACCGTCGAGCGGTCGCTCCGCGGCGACGACGACGGCGAGCGAACACCCGCGGCGGCGGCCGGCTCGCCCCGCCTGCTGCCACATCGCGGACGCCGTCTCCGGCACCCCGACGTGCACGGTCGCGTCTAACGTCCCGACGTCGATCCCCATCTCGAGCGCGGACGTGCACACGAGCGCGGAGACTTCCCCGGACGCGAGCCGGTGCTCGAGATTGCGACGTTCCTTCACGGAGTAACCGGCGCGGTAGGAGTCAACGAGCAACGCGAGGTCCTGCCGTCCCGCCTTCACGAGCAGCTCCCTGGCGTCGCGGCAGACGGACTCCGTGAGCGACCTCGCGGAGACGAACGCGAGGCACCGGACGTTGTTCTTCACGAGCGAAGCGATCACCTCCGCGGCTTCCGCGTACGCGCTCCGTCGCTGCGCGGTCTTCTCGTCGCCGCCGTTGTTTTTTGCCGCGGCGTTATTAGACCGCGGACGTCCCGGACGACTGCCGGCGCCGCCGGCGGCGGCGGCGGCGCCCTCGCCGCCGCCCTCGCCGCCGCCCGCGAGCTCCGGCGGCTGCCACAAGATCATCGCCTTCTCCCCGCTCGGCGCCCCGGACACGGTAACGCACGTCGGATTTTTCGTCGTCAGCGCGAGCACGTGCTCTCGCGGGTTCGAGATCGTCGCCGACGTGCAGACGAAGCGCACGTCGTCGTTGCCGCATACTCGACACAGACGAATCACGCGCCGGATGACGTTGGCGAAGTGCGACCCCGCGACGCCGCGATGCACGTGCGCTTCGTCGATCACCACGTGCGTGAGGTTCGCCCAGAACGATTTGCTCCACTTGCGCGGGTACCCGGGCAAGATGAAATGATGCAGCGAGTCCGGGTTGGTGAGCACGAGCTGCGGGTCGTTCCATCGTTTAAAGCGACGTCGGGGCGGGGTTGAAAGGCGTCAGTTGAAGTTGAAAGGCATCGAGGTGTGTCGGGATTGAAACCGTGGCGTGGGCGGAGAGATGCGCGGGCAAAAGTCCTTAAGAAACGGCGTTCACTACGCCAACGCGGTCGTAAGGGGACCAGTGTGAGGACAACGCGCCTGCGTCTTCTCCGCGCGAATCGCCGCGCGGTCGTCTTCGCTGCTGTCGCCGTCGCACGTGCGAATCGTGATCTCCGCGATGCCTCGCAAACGCTTCAGCTCCGTCTGGTTCAGACCCCCCTCGCCGTCGCCGTCGATATTCCCTTCCGCAGCCTCGAGCGCCTTTCTCGCCGCCTCCGGGAACGCCTTCAACTTGGCGAGCTGATCGTTCGCGAGCGCCTTCAACGGGAACAACACGAGCGCTCTGGCCGACTTCTTTTGCCCCAAGGCGTGGAGAAGAGGGAGGACGTAACACAGCGACTTCCCGGACGCCGTGGGCGTGGACACGACGACGGATTTCTTCTCCCCCACCGCGGCGTGGATCGCCTCTTTCTGGTGCCGGTAGAGTTGGTGAATGCCGCGCGCGCGAAGCGTCGCCGCGAGCGCGCCGCACAGCTTGAACCCGGGCGGGTCGGAGACGTCTTCCTCCGTCGCGAGGAACCACTCGCAGTGCGTCGCTTGCGACTTCGACGCGAGCTGCTTCGCGTATTCCTTGACGCGGTCGGGTAACGGCTGCGTTTGGGGCGTTTTGGGAAGCGCATCTCGCGTCGGCGTCGGCGTCGACGCGAGACGGAGCGCGGAGTCGTCGAGGCACGGCAGCGCCTCCAAGCGGCGCACGCGCGATCTCGTCTTGCCTCTGCCGCTCCCCGCGCCGCCGCCGCGGGATGATTTCGTCGTCCCTCCCGGGGAGGCGCGCTTCCCCGACGTCGTCGTCGCGGCCGCGCGCGCGCGCGCGGCATCCGCCGCGGAAGGCGTCGGCGTCCGCGTCGGCGTCTTGTCGTGTATCGCGCTGTCGTCGAAAGGGACGTTTTGGCAACCCTCGGCGCCCTCGTTCAGGAGCAGGAGATCTCGCGTCGCTGACGTCGTCCCCGCCGCGGCCTCCTTCCTCTTCTCGATCCGCCGCCGCTTTCGCATCGCAGCGGTGGCTATGAAATCGTCGTCGCTGACCTCCTCTTCATCGAGATCCACCACCGCGCGCGACTGCCCGTTCGTGATGTCGCGCAGAAACGTCGGCTTCGACCCCGTCCGCGGAGGAGGCGCGTTCCAGTCGAAAATCTCGCGGTTCCGTATCCGCTCCTCGAGCGCCTTCCCCGCGGCTCGTCTCTTCCTCGTCCCCGCGCTGAGGACGACGACGTCGTCACCGTCGTCCTCCTCAAAATCCGCGAGGACGGAGAATCCCGCCATCGTCTCTCCCTCGAGCGCTGCGCCGCTCGAGTGACGACGAACGTTCCAAGAATCGCCGCGATGACGACAGCTGACGACGCATATTTCGAAACGAACTGAAGGAGATGATGAACGTTCGCGTTCATCCGTCAGCAAAAGAAGGCGGCTGGCGCGTTCGCCGCTCTTCTCGCGTCGTTCGTCGCGCGGGAACTACATGCACACACGCTACGCTATCGGCGCTCTTCCTCCGCCGCCCTCTCCCTCTCGTTCATCGCGAGCTCCCACGCCTCGCGCTGCTCCGTCATCCACCCCACGCCGTGCGGGTCGTCCCCGTCCTCCAATTTTACGTGCAACTCCGGCGTCTGCGCCTTGCCCGCGTTTCGAAGAATAAACGTCGCGCGTCGCGTCAACGCGACCAAATTTCGCTCCGACTCGGGCGCGTCGTGCGACGCGCGGAGCGCCTGCTCGAGCGCCCACGTGAACGCGCCGCGGCGGACGCCGTCCTCGCGCTCTACTTTCATCTCCAGCGCGGGCTCGTCGCCCTTGCTGCTGCTCAGGCTGACGAGGTGGTTTTTCACCGCCGCCGCGTGTCGCAACGACTCGGCTTTTTTCAACCCGGGGCCGGGGCGGGCCGGGGCCGCGTCCGCGCCTGGATCGGGTTCGGCGTGTCGCTTCCTCGCGTCCCTGCGACGCTCGCGCGCGAGCTGCGTGATCCGCTCGCGCACGCGCGCGGGCGGCGGCGCGAACCGATTCGCGCCGGCGCCCTTCGCGGCGGCGACGACGGCCGAAGAAGACGCGTCGCCGCCGTCCCCCCCAGAACCGCCGCGCGTCGTCCGCACCGCCTTCGCGTCGGACAACGCGCCGCTGCAGCAGCAGTCGAACGTCGCGAAGCAGTCCACGCCGGGCGGGACCGCGCAGAATAACTTCTCGCGAAGGTAATCGTCCGTGATCCCGAAATTCGTCTCCCAGTCGACGTCGATCGTGCACAGCGCCTCGTCCACGCCGTCGTCCTCGTCGCCGTCCACGTCCGGGACGTCCGTGCCGTGGCCGCTGAAGTGAAAGAACAAGACGTCGCCCGCGCGCGCGTCCTCGAGCAGCCACTCGATGCCCGCCTTGACGTTCGTCGTCGTCGGGGGGCGGTAGTAGTGCGACCGCAGCGCGGTCGGGACGGCGTCGCCGTCGCGTTCGCCGCGCTTCGACGCGCCGCAGCAAGAGGAGGACGACGACGACGCGTTCACCCCGGGCAGCGGCTCGTCGATCAACACGCGCATCGACCCGGCGTCGGTCTTGAACCCGTACGCGTCGCGCAGAAAACGCATCTGCGCCGCGACGTCGTTGAGCGAACCTCTGAGCCGCGGGAGGCGAGGGTTCTTCTCCGCGGCGGCGGCGAAGTAGTTGGCGCCGACGAGCAACGCTTTCCCTCGCGGCGCGCGTTCCTTGAACGACGCCGCGTTTAACCCGCCGCCGCCGCCGCCCTCTCCGCGCGTCGTCGTCCGCCCGACGGACGCCTCCCTGGACGCCGCGAACAGCGCCGCGTTGACGCCTTGGCCGCTGTCCGCCATCCTCGACGCTTGGTCGGCCTCGTCGCGCGCGCGCGCCTTCATCGTCGCCCGCCCCGGCGCCGGCGCCGGCGCCGGCGCCGGCTCTTTTTTCGCGGCGTCGGCGGGGGCGTCAGCGTCGGCGGTCGACGTTCCTCCGTCTTCCTCCGCCGACGCGTCGATGAACGCCGCCCCGAGCGCGATCACCGACGGCGGCGTCTCCCCGCGGTCGTCCTTCGCGTCTCGAACGGGGTCGTCCACGATGCGATCCCCGACGTTCGAGGGAACGTTCACTTTCGCGGGCTTTTCCTCCTTCTCCTTCTCCTTCTCCTCATCGACGGCGCGGACGGGCACGCCGTCGTCGTCTTTCGCCGCCTCGCCCCGCGCCACCGCCGCGGCGTCTTCTTCGCCGGCTTTAGGTATCGCGGACTCGGACTCGGGGACCTCTTTCCGTTCCTCGTCGCCGCCCTCCTCTCTCTCCTTTTCCTCTCTCTCCTTTTCCTCTCTCTCCTTCGCGCGCTGCTTCACGATCGCGTCCTTCTCGAAGAGACCGCTCCCGACCCCGTCGCCGTCGCCGTCTAAGCCGACGTACGCGCTGCCGTGGTACCCGCCCAACGCGGTCGCGTCGGGCGCGTCCATCTTCGGGTCGTTCCGCGCGAGGCGACGAACGTCGGGGTGGAGTTGAAATGGTGCGTCAGTTGAAGTTGAAATGCGTCGAGGTGCGTTGGGGATTGAAAGCGTTCTCGGGGTGGGCGGAGAGAAACACACGCCGGACCCAAAAGTCCTTAAGGAACGGCTTTCACCACGCCAACGCGGTCGTATGGGAACCAGTGTGAGGAACAGAACAGAACGCGCCTTTTCCTCCAACGCGCGGACGTACTCGTCGATCTCTTTCGCGGCTTTCTCCGCCGCGGCGGCGCTGTCGCGCGCGCTCGGGACGTCCTCTTCCTCGTCCTCTTCGGCGCCCGCGCCCTCCGTCGAGAGGCGCGCGCGCGGCGTGTTCGCGACCGCGGCGGCGTCGACGTCCCACGGAAACGGCGTCGGCGCGTTCATCGCCGCGCTCTCGCGCGCGGCGTCTCTCCTCGCCGCCATCTTCTCGCGCTCCTCCTCCGTCGCCTTCGCTGGCGGCGGCCGCGCCGGCCCGTCGCGCTTCCGCCGCTCCTCCTCCGCGTCCGCCGCGTCCAGCTCAGCGAGGCGCGCGGCGATGGCGTCGCTCTCTCGGATCTGTGAGTCGATCTGCGCGTCCACCTGCTCCTTCTCGTCGAGCAGGAACGCCCACGGGTCGACGCCCTCCTCGGAGTGCCACTCCATGTTCACGTACAGCGCGACGTCCTTCGCGACCGCGCGCCCCAGCGCTTTGCTCTTGTACGACGCGTGCTGCTCCGCGGAGATGAGCCCGCCGTCGCGCAGGGTGTTCAGCGCGTGTATCTTGCCGTACGCGCCGAGGCTCTCGTCGTTCGCGATGAGGTCGAGCGTGTGCTCCACCTCGATGGCGTAGTCTTTCCCACTGATGGCGCCCGAGGCGAGTAGGAACGCCTCGTCGCCGAGGTAGCGCGCGAGTCGCGCGGGGTAGTTGGTCGCGTCGACGGGCTTCTTCATCTTCGTCTTCTTCGCGTCGTCGCGCGCGCCGCTCGTCGCGACGGACGCGGCGGGAGGCGCCATGGCTGACGACCGCGCGCGTTCGGTCGTCGTTGTTCGTCCTCCCCAACGACTTGATGAGAGATCGCCGACGACGCGACGTTCCGACGCTGCCTCCGACGCGAGATGGGAGTCGCGCGACGCGGCGGGCGCGGCGGGCGCGGCGCGCGTCTTCTCGAGCGACGACGGGCCGCGCGTGGGCGCGCGCGCGTCGGTCGCGCTCGCCTCTGGACGACTGCGCCCCGCGACGACCGTTTCTCCGCTCTAGTAGTAGGGGCTGCACCACACGCGGGTACGGGTCTCGACCTGGTCTCGACGACCGACCGTCACCTCACAGCTGTAGGAATTCCAGCAGGGCGATCCCCTATCATTCTCGAAGCGCGCGTCGCGTCGCGACCGTATCGCGCCCGTATCGCGCGCGGAACTTCTCGTGCGACGCCATCGCGACTTTGAATTAAATTTTTGCGGCGCTCTCGACGCTCGCGCGCGACGTTTCCGCGGCGTCACTCGCGCGATCGCGCTGTGAAAAAAAAACCTGCACGCTGCTGCACGCTGCCGAGATGACGCGCGAGGACGCGAAGCGGAAGCCGCTCGCGGAGGTGTCCGAGGACGAGTTCCTCGAGGATTTGGTGCGTCGCGCGCGTCTTTGAGATCCTCCGCGCGCGACGCGACGGTTTCGAGTCCCCGTCCGCCTCCCCCGCGCTCGCCTCGTCCGATATTAATACTTCCACGCACGCGACGTCGCGCTGACGCCCGACCGTGGCTCTTCGATCGCGTTCGCGCAGATCGCCTTCCTTCAAGCGAACGGCGGGGAGAAGCTCGCGCCGCCGGGATGCGGTACGTCGCCCGCGCGCATTCTTCTCGACGACGAGATCTCGCTCGAATGTTTTTTACCGGCGCCAGCGCGCGATCGCGCGCGACGCGCGCGCGTCGTCCGCGCGAGAGGTCACGTCGCCACAGCAGCGCCCACCACTTATAAGTTTCTCTCGAACGAAAACGAGGCGAGACCTCTCACGATCGATCCGATCCTCCTCTCTCGTCGACCGATCGCAGACGCGAACACGTTCCCGACGCGGACGCTGAACGGCGCGAAGCTCGACCTGTTCGGGCTGTACCGCGCGGTCGTCTCGCGAGGCGGATTCCCATCGTCGAAGGGCGGCGTTAACGGCGGCGGCGGCGGCGACAAGAGGGAAAAACTCAACTGGACGCGCGACGTGTTCCCGTGCCTATCAAACTACACTGAGAACCACCGCGCGACGTCCGTGGGGCACGACCTCATAACTCACTACCAGAACTACCTGTGCGAGTACGAGCTCGCGAACCCCGAGGACGTCGTAACGAGCGCGGCGGACCCGACGAGCCTCTCGTTTCGAACGGACCCGCGGCCGCCCGCCGTCTCCGTCTCCGCGGAGGGCGGCGGTCGCGGCCGCGGACGGCCGCGCGGCAGCGGGCGAGGCCGCGGCCGCGGGCGAGGCCGCGGCGGGCGAGGCCGCAGCGCGGGCGCGTCCGCGGGGGCGTCGCGGGCGGCCGGGCGCGCCGGGAAGATCAGGGTTCCGACGTACGCGCCGAGCGATTTCGCCGTCGGGTGCACGGTGCGCGTCTTTTGGAAACAAGGCGCGTTCTGTCTCACACTGGTCCCCATACGACCACGTTCGCGTGGTGAACGCCGATCCTTAAGGGCTTTCTCTCCCGGCGTTTCTCTCCGCCCAGGGTCCCTCGCTTTCAATCCCCGTCCTCGGCGCCTTTCAACTTCAACTGACGCCTTTCAACTCCACCCCGACGTTCGCTCGTATAGACCGCGCGTGGTACACCGGCGTGATCGAGGACCAGCAGAGCAGCGCGCCGGAGGGTGCCGAGGAGGGTGCCGAGGAGGGTGCCGCCGCCGCCGCCGCGGTCGTCCTCTCGAAGGTGGTCTACGACGACGGCGACGTGGAGATCTTAGACCTCGTCGGCGGCGCGGAGAAGGTTGTCCTCGTCGCGCGCGCGGACGGCGCGCCGACGGGCGACGGCGATCGCGACTACCTCAGCGACTCGGACGACGACGACGACGGCGCCGCCGCCGCCGGGGGCGCGCCGCTGAGCCGCCGCGCGTCCGCGCGCGCCGGTAACGACGCCGGACTGCCGCTGAGCCGCCGCGCGGAGGCGAAGGAGGCCGCGGCGAGGGAGGCGCGACGCGCGCGCCTCGGCGGCGGCGGCGACGCGGACGACGACGACGACGACGGCGACGGCGGCGGCGGCGGTCCGCGGCGCGCCCCCGGCGCCCCCGGCCCGTCCCTCGCCGCCGTCCGCGCGCGAGACGACGCGGATGCGATCCGCGCGGGATTGCGCCGGAACCCCGCGAGGGCGGCGGCGGTCGCGGCGTTCGGCGGCGACGACGACGACCTTCCGCCGCCGTCGGACGAACGCGTGGGCGCGGTGCTCGAGGCGATGAAATCCAATGACGTCGCGCGCGTGCTCTCGGAGCTGCCCTTCGCGCACGAGGAGAGCAGCGAGGTGTATAAGCTCGGGTACGCCATGGGCGCGCGGCGAGCGATCGCGGTGTGCGCCGCCGTCGTCGCCGCGGCCGCGGCGAGAGCGGGCGCGGGCGCGGGAGAGGCGGCGGCGGACGCGGCGACCGCGAAGAAGAGGAAACTTTCGGGCGGACGCGCGGGGGGTGGCGACGAGAGCGGCGGCGCGGGCGCGGGCGCGGGCGCGTCGCCGCCGCCGTCAGGCGGCGGGCGCGTGCGGAAGAAGAGCGCGAGAGCCGCGGCGTGGGAGGAGGACAAGGAGAAAGCGGCCGCGAAGGCGAAGGCGGCCGCGGGGGAGGAGAAGAAGACGGACGGGTCGCCGGGGGGAGACGAAGAGGCGGAAGTCAAAGACGAAGCGGCGAAGAAGAGAGCTGATGACGTCGCGGAGGCGGACGTCAAGCTCGGCGCCGCGCTCGCGTCGCGCGCGAAGCGACCGCACGGCGCGTGGGAGGACGCGCTGTCCGCGGCGGCGCGCGACCCCGCGCTGACGGCGGTGCTCGCGCGCGTCGAACGCGTGCTCGAAAAAGAAACGTTCGACCCCGACGTCGGCGACTCGGACGACGACGACGCCGACGCCGACGGGTGGACGCGCGGAATAGACGCCGGCGCGGTCGCGGACAAGACGCGGGAGGGGATCAACGCGAACGTCGTCCGCGGCGTCCTCGGCGTGACGGCGGCGTTCGAGACGGCGCGAGGGTGGCGCGGGAGCGCGGCGGCGATCGCGGCGAGCAAGGCGATATTCGCGCCGCCGGCGCCGGCGCCGGCGCCGGGCGCGGCGGTCGGCGCGCCGCCGAGCGCGTCGCGGCCGTCCCCGAACACTCCGAAGAACACTCCGAACGACCCGCCACCAAACCCGAAGCCGCCCTCGCGCGCGTCCGCGCTGGACCCCGCGGCGCTTGCGGCCAAGGCGGCAAACGCGCCCCCCGCGGCGAAAGCCGCCGCCGCCGCGAGCATGGGCGCGAAGATCGAGCCGCCGCCGACGGGCGTCGTCTCCGCCGCGGGCGGCGAGCACGTCGCCGCGGCGTACGAGGAGGCCGCCGCGAAGCGCCTCGCCGCGGAGGCGGAGCTCGCGCGCATCGCGGACCCGGTCAAGCTCGCGTTCGTGCAAGACGACGCGACCAAGCCGAAGCCGACGACGACGGCGGGGCGGCTGATCAAAGGTGCGTTCTATACACTGGTCCCCATACGACCGCGTTGGCGTGGTGAACGCCGATCCTTAAGGACTTTTGCCGTCGCATCTCTCCGCCCAGGGTCCCTCGCTTTCAACGCCCGCCCGCGGCGCCTTTCAACTTCAACTGACGCCTTTTAACTCCACCCCGACAATCGCTCGTATGGAACGACCCTCAAAGCCGCGAACAACGCCAAGGCGCGCGCGGAGCGCGTCGCCGCGGGCGGCGGGACGTTCAGGTCGCGCGGCGCGTCGGGCGGTCAGTACGGCGGCGGCGGCGGCGGCGCGGGGCGCGGGCCGGGACGCCTGCCGAGCGCCGCCGCCGCCGCCGTCGCGAAGCGCGTCAAGCCGACGGACCCCGCGAAGGCGGCGTTCATGGAGCAGACCGGTCCGAGCGGCCTCGGCGCGAAGGCGTTCGAGTTCCGCCCGCCGCTGGCGCCGACCGCGACCGCGGCGGCGGCGGAGGCGTTCGAGCGTGCCGCCGCCGCCGCCGGCGGCGGCGACGACGCCGACGCGATGGACTGCGCGCTGTCGCTCGACGGCGACGACGGCGTGACGCGATGGCTGACGAGGCGCGGATGGGGCGAATACGCCGCCGGCTTCGCGTCGTACGGCGTCACGATGGAGACGCTGCCGGGGCTGTCGATGCAGGACATGGAGAACATGCCGGCGTTCATGTCGCCGGAGATGCGCGCGAAGGTGCACGCGGCGGCGGTGGCGGTGGGGACGAAGCGGGGCGGCGCGGGCGCGGGGACCGCGGGCGCGAAAAGTCCGCCGAAGCGAAAGGCGACGGCGACGGCGACGGCGACGGCGGCGAAATCGGCGGCGGAGAAGGATGGCGCGAAGGTCGCGTCGCCTTCGCGCTCGAGGAAGTCCCCGAGCGCTTCCCCGGCGAAGCGGCAGAGGGGCTCGGAGTCGAGGAGCATACACTCCGGGCTATCCGGTTGAGGAGACGTGTGCGTAGGCGATAGACACTCACGGCGTCGTACTGTACTACGCCCTTTAAGCCCTGAATTAGCGTGAATTGACGGAGCTTAAAGGGTTGAACCCTTCGGGTTCATTTCACCCTTAACTCTGTCGCATCAACGCTAATTCAGGGCTTAAAGGGCGTAGTACTCGCCTATCAAAACCTAATTTAATAGGTGTTTTTGTATCAATTTTAGGGTTTTTATACAAGCCAAAAAAATGAAAATTGGAAACCTAAGTGAGGTCGCCTCAAAACGAAAAATAAGTCCAAAAATGCCGAACAACAAAAAAAATAAGCGAAACAAGCAGACGGCAGGGAAGGTTTGTGATGTGCCTTACTGCGTGAGGAAGGAGACGCCGACGATGATGTTTGACGACACCAATATTACCTGTATGAAGTGCGACCACTTCATCTGTAGCTGTTGTGTGGAGAAGAATTGGAAGGGAACTTGGACGCAGGAGGACTTCTACAAGCCGAAGTATGAACTGCCAGGTCTCAAGCACGAGCTTTGGAAATGTCCGTTTTGTCGGGCTACTTTTGACCGCTTTAGACCCGACGGAAGTGGTCTTGAGCCTGAATTGAAGACGATGACGATTGGGGAGTTCTTGGGTAGTTTATAGCTTTGTAATAAGACCAAAACCTTACGAAAATCACGGGAGTTCGGGGGCGTATCTGGAGCGTAGCGACCCAGACCTCTACAAATCTCCGTGAACCTCGCTGACGCAAATATCACGGAACTCTGTAGCACCTCTTTAAGCCCTGCGAAGTGTTTTTGAGCTGTTGAAAAACACCTCAAAAACACGGGAAAACCACCTAAATCGGGGGTCGCAAAACCAAAAATCGGGGGTTAGAAAATCACACGAAAATCATCTAATTTCGGGGGTTAAAATCGTCCAATTTGGGGGGTTAGAAAATCACACGAAAATCATCGAAAATCGGGGGTCTTCTGTGGGGCTTCTATACCTTCTGTGAGCCTTCTGTGAGACCCCATTTCATACCATCCACGAAACAAGCACGGAGGACGAGAGAAAGCCAGACCCAAATATCTATGTAGGGCTTTTTTGGTCTCTAAAGGGGGGGTCTGTTTTTGAGACAGGGGGGGAGACCGCCAGACCCTATGTTGGCTATGTTGGCTGTAGGGTATGTTTTTTTTTTCTTTCTCACACTCCTAATCCGTTCTCTCTCTCCCTCCTTTACGGATTACACTATTTATATAAAAGGGAGAAAAGAGTATACATTATATACATAGTCAACATAGGATATAGGAATGACGGAACTTTCTCGGTGTATAGTATTTTTCAAAGCCGTCAAAGACCATCATTTTTGGGTCTGCCTGGCCGATTCCCCGTGTTTTTGGTCTAGGGTCGCCTGACCCCCATTTTGCCCAAAAAATCGCCTGAAATCTGGAAATGACTGAACTTGACTGATCTCCCAAATTAGGAAAGCCCCGTAGTTTTCACTTACCCCCGCACACCGCCCAAGACGCGCGCTTGAAGTTGCGCCTCGGTCAAGTATCGTTTGAAAAAACGCGATGAATTATTTTGTTTGATCGATACATCGACCAACGCTGAAAGCAAAAAAGTTATTTTGACACCCTGGCTAGCTATCAAAGTGAAGATACACGTAGTCGTGAGAAAATCACACGAAAAGGAGGTTACACAATTTAACGCACGAACCCTAGTCGTTGCCCTTACCCCTCGGACAAACAAACGCGCCGCCGCTCGCCGCAGCCGCCGCTCGTGTATACACCAACCCGGGTAGGGTAGATCGCGGATCGTATCCACGCCACGCGAACGCAGGTTCCCGCATCGCCGCTCACGCGCAGCGCAGACTGTTTGATCTCTCTGTTTTCTCCTCGCGATCGCGCGGGGGATTTCGCATCTCACCACCACGAGCGCGGCACATCCACGAGGGACGCGTTTGCGAGAAACGTCTGAAGGAAGGATGGGGCGATCTCTGTCACGATCTGCGTCATAGTTCACACTCTCCTGGATGCGCCTTGTGATCCTCGGAAAGCGCTGTCATATGGAACATCTTATCACTAGACCTCACGGTGCAGAGATTCCAGCGTCCCACTTGGAGATGTCGCCGTTGAATGAGGAAGCGCCATAAAACATTCTTCTCATGTTCGTGACGCTGCTCACGTCCCATTTGGAGATGTCGCCGTTGAAAGTCCGAGCGCCAAAAAACATGTACGCCATGTCCGTGACCTTGCTCACGTCCCACTTGGAGATGTCGCCGTTGAAAGCCTTGGCGTAATTGAACATTCTCTCCATGTTCGTGACGCTGCTCACGTCCCAGTTCGAGATGTCGCCGTTGAAAGCAGATGTCGAGGAAAACATTCTCTCCATGTTGGTTACCTTGCTCACGTCCCACTTGGAGATGTCGCCGTTGAATGAGGAAGCGCCGTTGAACATGCTCCTCATGTTCGTGACCTTGCTCGTGTCCCACTTGGAGATGTCGCCGTTGAAAGAGGAAGCGCGGAACATGCTCCCCATGTCAATGACCTTGCTCACGTCCCACTTGGAGATGTCGCCGTTGAAAGCGGAAGCGGAGGAGAACATGCCCACCATTTGGATGACCTTGCTCACGTCCCACTTGGAGATATTGCCGTTGAATGAGGAAGCGCCGTTGAACATGCTCCTCATGTTCGTGACCTTGCTCGTGTCCCACTTGGAGATGTCACCGTTGAAAGCGAAAGCGAACAGGAACATGCTCCCCATGTTGGTGACCTTGCTCACGTCCCACTTGGAGATGTCGCCGTTGAAAGCCTTGGCGCCGTTGAACATGTACGCCATGTCAATGACCTTGCTCACGTCCCACTTGGAGATGTCGCCGTTGAAAGCGGAAGCGGAGGAGAACATGCTCCCCATCTTGGTGACCTTGCTCACGTCCCAATTGGAGATGTCGCCGTTGAAAGAGGAAGCGGAGGAGAACATGCCCACCATTTGGATGACCTTGCTCACGTCCCACTTGGAGATATTGCCGTTGAAAGCCTTGGCGCCTTTGAACATCTCCCCCATGTTGGTGACCTTGCTCACGTCCCAGCCGGAGATGTCGCCGTTGAAAGCGGAAGCGGAGGAGAACATGCTCCCCATGTTGGTGACCTTGCTCACGCCCCACTTGGAGATGTCGCCGTTGAAAGCCTTGGCGTAGTAGAACATGCCCCACATCCTCGTGACCTTGCTCGTGTCCCACTTGGAGATGTCACCGTTGAAAGCGAAAGCGAACAGGAACATGCTCCCCATGTTGGTGACCTTGCTCACGTCCCACTTGGAGATGTCGCCGTTGAAAGCCTTGGCGCCGTTGAACATGTACGCCATGTCAATGACCTTGCTCACGTCCCACTTGGAGATGTCGCCGTTGAAAGCGGAAGCGGAGGAGAACATGCTCCCCATCTTGGTGACCTTGCTCACGTCCCAATTGGAGATGTCGCCGTTGAAAGAGGAAGCGGAGGAGAACATGCCCACCATTTGGATGACCTTGCTCACGTCCCACTTGGAGATATTGCCGTTGAAAGCCTTGGCGCCTTTGAACATCTCCCCCATGTTGGTGACCTTGCTCACGTCCCAGCCGGAGATGTCGCCGTTGAAAGCCTCGGCGTTGGAGAACATTCTCTCCATGTGGATGACCTTGCTCACGTCCCACTTGGAGATGTCGCCGTTGAAAGCCTTGGCGTAGTAGAACATGTTCCTCATCCTCGTGACCTTACTCGTGTCCCACCCGGAGATGTCGCCGTTGAAATTTCCGTTACGAATAAACAAATTGCTCATGTCCGTCACTGCGGTGACGTCCCATCGGTTAATATCGGCGGCGGCGCATTCGTCCCTGCATTCCTTGATGGCGGCGATGAGCTCAGCCTTGTTATGAAATTTCCTCGCCGGGGGCGGCGGAGGCGGAGAAGGCGGCGGAGGCGCCGGCGGCGGCGCAGCCGGAGGTAGGGGTGGAGGATGAGGTGGCGGCGACGGATATTGCAGGCGGAACAAATGGTCTTCTCTGGACTCCGTCGCGGCGTTCGATCTTCCAGACGCCGCGCTCGATGAAACCGTCTCGTTCACCGCGCGCGGCGGTTCGTTTAGGAGCGCTTTGAAGTACCCGATCCCGCGGGCAAACTTGGCTCGCGCGGCTTGGTTGCCGGCCGCGGCGGCCGATTTCGCCTTTCTAATCAACCCCCCGATTCGTCCTTTGAGCGCCTTCGCGTGCCCGTCGCTCCACGAGATGACGGAATCGGTTTTGTAATTCGCGGCGACGACGAGCGTCCCGCGCTTTTTCATGATCACGTTCACCGCCCTCATCGTCCGCGGTCCCGCGGACATTTGCGAAAACCTCTTCACGCCTCTCGGGTCCTTCCCGACGAAACCAATGAACTTCAAGACGAGCGTCGCGGACGTGCCGTCCTCGCTCATCTCCGCGGAGACGCGCGACGGCGCGATCGAATGGAATTTAATCCCTCGGCTCAGGCGCGACTTCACGACGTTTTCTACAAAATTCAACTGCACATCCGCCTTCGCCGCGGACATGCCCGTGATCACGTACGTCGTCGTGACCGACGTCTCATCAACTTCGTCGAGACTCGCGCGTCTCGAATCGACGAGCGAGCGCGGGTTCGAAACGGTCGGTCGCTCGTCGTCCTCTCCTGCGCGAATGTTCGCGCACGGCCCCGCGTCGAGGACTCGACTCTGCTCAGCATTCGAACAGGTGCCGCACCACGCGCCGCCGCAGTCGACGCCTTCCTCGTCTCCGTTTCGCACGCCGTCGAAGCACGTCGCGCACTGGTCGCCTTCGCACTCGTGAACGGTCCACTCGGATTCGTCGAACGGCCCGGCCACCGCTAGCGCGACGGCTCCGACTTGGTC